CGGTAAGTACTTCCTTTGAAAAATGTCATGCCAGTTAAAACTCCATTATTAGATTTTTATGTTAATTTTATATATAGTTTATATTTATGGAAAAGATAAATATAATAAAGAGAAAACTAATGAATGTTCAGAAATAATGAGTGTGATCTTAAACTAGTGCCATCAATATATTGTGTTAAGAAAAATTCTCACAATAACACATAAGCATTTCATTAATTTTTATTGTTAATCAAAATCTATAACCATATGAATATTTTATAAAGATCATATTTATAGTGTTACTTATATCAAATTACATATGCTACAATTATATATATATTGTTCATAAAAACCTCTAAGACACTTATAAACAGGGGAGATAATTTTCTTTCTAGAAACCTAATATAATTTCTAGAAACCTAATATAATTTCTACAAAACTGGGAATTTAAATGTTTAAAAGAAATGAAAATAGAATTGGCTGGAGATGATCACATACATAAACTTAAGAAAACTGAAAGGTATTTGCATTAGTAAAGGAGTTATGCCTGGAGTTATTGTTCTGTTTGTAAAAAATAACTGAAGTCAAAATATTTGAAGTTCTACATTATGACTAAAAAAGGTAAAACACACACACACACACACACACACACACACACACACACACACACACACACTTTTCCTATTCAAACTTGTTACAAACTCCTATAAAGCAAGCCAGATATTCTTTTTCAAATTTAAAAAAAAAAAAAAAAAACACACACACTTTTTTTTTCTTGTTTTGTTTAGAAAACAAAAGCTGGTCTTTGGTGAGAAATTTAAGGGACTGCAGTGTATTTCCAGATCTATTAGGAGATTAACAGCAAGTGTAATTTTGAATGATTAGTTCTGCTCTAGCTAAGCTTTGTAATTTCTCATAGCTATCTAACACGTTTCACATATCTTGACAATTTGAACAACTGTTATGTAGGTGAGACAGCAATTCTGCATCCAGGGAGTCCTTATCTGCTTACACTGAATGGAAGGATAACCCCATGGAGAGATCCAAGGTTTAAGGGAGTGTAGAAGAAAGCATGACTAAATGTAATCTCACGTTAGAATTTTGCTCAGTTTAATTAGTTTGCAAATATGTAATTTATTTTACACCGTGGGTCGTAAATATTCTGTACCCTCTGCGAGTCTTGAAAACGTAAGGAAAGGGATTTATAGCACATTGTCTTCACAAACAAAAACTTATTTGTTCAGCTTCCTTTAATCAAGTCTGATTCCATTCTTAAAGGGAAAATGCACTTCCAATCTTTTTTCTCTGGTATGATCATTTGCATACTTGTAATATCATGTTTAATGGTCACATCTTCCTGTTCTTTTCCATTGTAGTGCCATTATTTTAATCTATTTCAATATCTTCTATATTTGTTTGCATTTATAGCAGCTTACAAAAATGGTCAGTTATTTAAATTGTATGTAAATATATTTGAATTCGCGAGGAAATTATGTTTTTATAGAATCTACCCCTGTTGCCATGTGAAAAAAAAATCATGATTATTTATTTTCAGAGTTACATTATGATTTCCAAATCCTTCTAACTGAACATAACTATAAAATCCCTTAATTTATGCCATTTGTCCTTAGTTTATAATTTAGGTCTACTTTCACCTAGTGTTTGAGTTTCTAATAAATTACAGGGAATGAACCATCCCACACCCCAGTTGGTGGTCTTATTATATGGGCACAAGTGGGAAAGTCTCCTATTAACTAAGTTCATAATTTAAGGTACGACTCTTATAGGGAGCACAGCCTTCGTGTTTCAAGTGGTGATTTGCTTTTAGTCCATACCTTGAGTATTTAAACACCCTCTGCTTGGTAATAAGCCAGTGAATTATGGGTGATTGAGTGTATACATCCCCTCAGTTAAAAAGGCAAGTCAAATTACCCATCTAGGCTTTACCTCCTCTGAATCTTTTTTTTTCTTTTCCCCTCTTAAGTTGGTCTCAATTTACAGAATTCTTTCTTTTTCACATAGTAATCTTTCTGTTCATGCAGTGTTAGTAAGTCTCACAATAAGGGTTATTGTACCCAACCTTTAGAGTTAGTACTGAAACACAAACGTACTTATTGTGTGTAAACCTTGGAAAACTTTCATCAGAAGGCTGACTTTCATGCCACTTTGCTAGAATTTTGATGGTCCTTGGCCTGCCCTCATTCACTTAGTTTGAGTGTTGTAGCCCAGGGCTGTAAGACCAGTTCAGACCTCAGTTGGTTCTTTTTGGTTCACTCTTCCACAAACCACTCTGCTGTGAGAATCAGTCAGTAAAATAGGTGACTCTTGACACTGAGAACAGACAAATATAAGGAAACATAGAATTCTGAAACGATTATACTTAAAGAAATTGCTTTTCCCTTCGCAAAAAGTAGGGGGCACTCAAAGTCCCCCCAAGATCCCTGTGAAATGTGAGAGGAGGGGACTTGCTGGCAGTCTGAGCCAGAAAGAGCTTTTCGTAGACATACTCAGAATCCTAGAAAATGCAGAGTTGTGATTTTAGTGTGTGTGTGTGTGTGTGTGTGTGTGTGTGTGTGTGTTGGGGGGGGAGGGTGGTTGTTTCACTAGTTCAATCCAAATAATAACCTCACATTCTCCTGATTTCATATGTTCTGATACTTTGCTCCATTGTTTACCCATTTGAATCTGAAAAGATAAAGTGTGATCTGCACACTTCTGATTTATGAATAATTTTATTTACGATTACAATTGTTTGCTTTAAATTGTATTGCTTTTCTTGCTTAATTGTTACCAGACACACAATTGACATTAAGCGTTACCAAGTCCATAATCTTAAAATAATGGTAGCAGCTGCATCTTCACATCATAGAAATACAGAGGCACATCACATACAAAAATTGTGCGCAACAGTTTGAGCTCCCACTGCAATCTGTTATATAGCATAGTCTCTTTGTAGATTATCTGTGTAACTGTTAACATTTATAAGTACATATCGCTAGGACTAGTTTTTTCAGGTAAACATACGGTATTTTGTCCTTTAATGTAAAGTCAAAGATGAGTAATGCATTATTCTGCATTATCTCACCATCACCAGATAATGTCCCCATCTGTGTAGAAGTAGTTGAATTCAAACCTTGTTTTTTCCATTTATCCTTACAGCTTCTATCCTTACAGCTTCAGTTGTATTTCATGCCAATTACTGCTTTTCTAGTTTTCCTTAGCTCTGATACTATGTGTTTTCATCTGAGGCTTTCCTAAGGCAATGCATTCTCAAAACCAAGTTCATTTGTTTTTACACTAAGGGACGAAAGCTGAGAAATCCAAATGTAAATTTTGTCAAGTGGTATTTCATTATTTCTGCAGATTTTAGAACATATGTACTAGATTAAATAAACTCTGATTAATATCTGGACCATGTATTTTACTAGTATTATTTTTCTGGTATACATGATAAAATACAGCATTTATATATTATATATATATATATATATGTAAATTTAATTTATATATATTAAATTCTGACTTTTAGACAAAGAAACATCTATAAAGTATATCTACCAATTTTATTTTCTATACTTTAATAAGTCGATGAATAATATACATTTATAAGGACAAATCTAAACACATGTCAGGATAATGAATAGTGGGGAAAAGAATGGAACAAAAAGAATTTTCAAAACAAATTCAGGTCCTAGCCAGTTTGGCGCAGAAGATTGAGCATTGGTCTGCAGACCAAAGGGCCTCAGGTTCAATCCAGTTAAGGGCACATACTACAGTCGCAGGCTCTTCCCAGGCCTGGGCTCTAGTCAGGGTGCATGGGAAACCAATCAATGTGTTTCACTCATCTGATATTACTCTGTCTTTCCCTCTCTCTTCCACTCTCTCTTAAAATCAATGGAAAAATCTCAGGTAAGGATTTAAAAACAAAAACAAATTCAGTATGTTTGTCCTTATAGAATAGGATGAAAAATATTATTTAGTGAATGTATATGGAAATGTAATTAATTATTGGAAATATGTTCATAAGTATACATTATCTGTTCATGGTTCATGTAAAAAATAGCCCTATAAATATGATCCTGGTTACCTATAATTTAATATATTATTTGATGATTTATATGTCTTCTTTATGAATTGATCATTTGACTTGAAGTAAATAAGTAAACCAGGAATGACTTTCTTTTTCTTGTTTGTCAAGGTACAGCCATTTCCACTCTTCAATTTTTGCTTTGTTTAGCAAAAGCATTAAGAATAGAAGCAACTATAGTGTTTTGTTAACTTCCTAGAGGAATTTGTAAAGATGTAATATTTTAAAATCTGCAATCATATACAAAATTATCTAGCAAATTAAAGGGGGTGACATGACCCAGTAGAGTTTTCTAATAACCTTCACATCCTTGCACTTGGTCAGATTGTTTCTTCCTCTTTGTGTCATGTTGAATCCAGGTCTGGTACAGAGTAGAGAGAAAATACAAAGGATGATAACTTACAAACTAGCATTAAAAATAATTTGATTTGAGGCTTTCAAATAAATGGATTTCTTTTGCTGTTGAGTCCTCCTTGTGACACTTCCTGGACATGATTGAAACACCGTATAGGTGGAACCAGAGTTCTGTCTACTGAATTCCATTTTGCCATTGCATTCTATAGAAAATCAATTTAGGGTAGACAAAATATTTGGGATGCATACAATAAGATGATTATTTAAAGCATTCTATTTGTTGAATATTAAAAAAAAGGGTGGAAGAAGGGATTTTTACTTTTCTGCTTTTTTAGTATAAGCATCGCAAAAGAAACTGAATTTTCTTATTTGAAAGTTACTGAATTGAGTTAGAAAGCTAAAATCGAGGTGAAGAAGAGGACTGATCACAAATCATTCTCCCACTTCTATCTTTTTCAGGTATTCCATGGAAAGATTTACAGTGAAATTTTGTATTCAGCTTTGCAATTTTTGTATTCTGATTTGTTGACTTATGAAAATGCATTAATCATAGGCATATTTAATTTTTTTCTTCTTCTAGCAATGGTTGTTTTGAGCAACCTGGAACCAAATACAACTTATGAAATCAGGGTTGCAGCTGTGAATGGCAAAGGGCAAGGAGACTACAGTAAAATAGAAATCTTCCAAACATTACCAGTTCGTAAGTATTCCTGTCTGTTTTGCTCCCCGTTGCCAGGATTGAGCAAGCCAAAGGGGGAAAAGAAGCACTGGGATATATACAGTACATTGTCTCAGGAATTGGGCAGATCAGATGATGTCTTACTTCTTCAGCATCTGACTAATGAAATTGTACTGTTATTACTTTTTATTATTAATTATATTAGTATTACTTTTGTATAAACATATGGCTCACACTATGCTCTGTTAGGGAGGAGAAAAGTGTGTGTGACATACGCAGTATTATATTCTTTTGATGAAGCATGACTATTGCCTTCATCCCAGAAATGATATAGGCCATCAGGGTGAGGAAGATGCACCATTAAATGAATCTATTACCATGGTGAATGCAGAAAAATGACCGTTGTAGCTTTGTTCTCATCACTAAACTCTTTTCAAGGTGTTATAAGTCAACTAAGTTTATGTGAAGTTAAGAGACATCCAGAATGGCTTGCATTTCCTTTCTGTTGAATAAGTAGTTTAAAAATTGAGTGTGACTAAATAAATGTTGTTATAACATCTATGGATAAGCCTATTATGTGTGCATATTAAGACAGTCAAGTTCATCACATAAAGTATATCATCCCAATTTGTGACCAATTCTTTCCTGTTTGTCTAAAAATTGGTTAGATGTGTTCCCTTTTTTTAAATTCCCAATGGCAGTGATGCTTTTAGGTTCTCATTTTTTTTTTCACCAGCAGGACTGCAAATACACCTTGATTTATATTACTATCTCGAGATGAAAATGAGTCTAGAGTAACTGAACAAAAATTTAAAGATACCTGTCTCTCTTCCATTTGTAATCTTCAACAACACCCTTTACCTTCCCCCTTCCCACCCATACCAACATTGCCTGCCCGCCGTCCTCACACCCCTCTCTCAACTGCTGCTGTTCTTTATACATCAGTAGGTTGAACTAAGATTGCATCCTGTCTAATAATGTCCAGCATTCAATGAAAGCTTGATCACTTATAGCTTACTAAGATCTTGGCTAACCATTCCAACCTTTATTTTCTTATTCAGAAACACTTACTTTTACTCATTCATAGAACCCCTATATAAGTGTTTCAACCATAACACATCTCTCTCCTACTCTTTCCTTTGTCCCACTTTCCTTTTTTAAATGACAAAATTTCTAATCTCTTTGTGCACATTTGTTCACATTCAAATCTCTGCCCTAGACAGTGAGCATGTTGAGGGTAAGGACGTTGTCGTTGTTGTCTTGTTTTTAAATAATAAATATGTATTTGAATCGTTTCTCAACATTTTTGAAGTTTAAATGAGATAATACGTACGAAGTATGTAATATGTTATAATTATTGTTATTACTTTTTATTATTATTTATATTAGTATTACTTTTGTATAAACATTTTGTTATAATAGTTAATAGAAACCATTATTTTTTAATAATATAATATAATATAATATAATATAATATAATATAATATAATAATATTGATTTTACAGGGGAAGGGAGAGGAAGAGAGAGAAAAACAAAAATGATGAGAGAGAATCATTGATCGGCTGTCTCCTGCATGTCCCACACTAGGAATCAAGCCTGCAACCTAGATTTTTGCCCTGACCTGCAATTGAACCATGACTCCTGGTTCACATATCGATGTTCAACCACTGAGCCACACTGGTGGACAGAAACTATTATTTTAATTTCTCTCTAATACAGTTTATACTTGATTTGAACATAGCTCTTTTTCAAAGGAAGTAGCAGTTTTAATGGAGTCATAAACTAGGCATACATTTTTAAAACAATATATTTTAAATATTTGTTAACCCAATACAGTTTCTTTTTTATAATTATTATCTCATAATGCTATTATTAAAAGTAATAGCATTATAAAAATATTAAATAAACTTATACTCTACAACCTGTAAATTATAAAACTCAATTAGAAATTATACAAAACCACCTGAGTAGAACCATGATTTTACAGTATTTAGATTTTTCCATAATCTCTTACAGAAATATTTTTAAAAATGGTTGCACTCACTTTTACAGAAGTTTTATTCATTTATCAAAAAAAAATTGTGTGGTTGTAGATCATATCATATCATGATATCTGCTAATTTAATTAGCTTTCAAGAACAATAACTCTATTAGAGTTCCTCGATTCACTTTGTTTCTATATGGTTGTACTCTAGGAGGCTATTTTCTTATTTGTGTGCCAATACACCCAGTGATCATATTACTTTAATGACCTGCTTTCTCACAGGTAAACGGCACACCTGCTTCAGGTTGTACACACCATATTAGATATAAAGAAGTTGCTGGGGGCGAAAAACCTGTTTCCCAACTTTGGAGGCATACAATCCTCTTTCTTCATTCTGCTTAGTTTGTCTGCCTGGGCATTCCTCCCAGTAAAGCTGATAAGACAGGTATCAGGAATCAGGCAAACTGAAGCATGGCCTCGACTAGTTGTTTAATATGGGCACATTCATGTTCATAAGCACATCCATAAGGAAAGGGAGGAAACAGAAGCAGAAGAAACAAGGGCACTCTCAGCAGATAATCCCATTCCAAGTTGCCAAGGAGCTATGTCATTCTTCACCTAAAAATCTCTTACACTTCCTTGGTTTCCTGTCCATATTCAAAATACTGCGAGAGTGTGTGTTAGATAGCATCTCCATATGAAGAATGACATCATAAACAAGTATATTAATAACTCTAAAAGAAGAAAAAACATATTGAAATACAGGTCTATAGATGGGCTAATACAAAAATTCTTTATTTACAAATGGATTTAACTATAAACAATAATGCTCATGAAAGCAGTTAATTGTTAACACATCATCTTTCCACGAAGGGATATATACTATATATTTTGATGCTTTCATATGTTTATATTAATAACGATTTATAAAATATTTTCAAATAAAATGTGCGTGAATAAAATAAGTGGGATTATACACTGTTCATAAGAGAAATCATGTTTCCACACTTGTGCAGTGCTGTTCTCAGAGCATTTTGACATAAATGTAAGCAATATATTTGGGCATAATACCTCTAGATTTATGAATGTTGCTGTTTTTGGGTAGAAAGAGAATCCGAAGTTATATCACAACAAAGGGCAAGTAGCAAATGTTAAGTGCAGGAATATCATATATTTTGATTATAAGACATTGTTATATTTTTATTAAAATCCAGTTTCTCTAGGTATCTGAGGTGTGTGCAAATATCAAAAATGTTGTCTTGCATATTTAGGTGAGCCGAGTCCTCCATCCATACATGGGCAGCCAAGCAGCGGGAAGAGTTTCAAACTCAGTATCACCAAACAGGATGATGGAGGGGCCCCTATTCTGGAATACATTGTGAAGTATAGAAGTGTAAGTATCCCACTTACTGTAATTTTGTACAAGGTGTTTGCAAGCTACATTACATCTGTACTGAGTTCACAGTGGTATCAGGAGTTAACCTATATTCAATAGCAGTGACAAAATGGTACTTATAGGAATTTCAATGACAATTTTTTATTGCGTCAGTTCATCATTATCAATTACAAAAACACTTGCGTGTTGTTGTTGTTTTGTTGTTAAACTCTAAGCATAGACCATCAAAATAATCCCATGGCTTTCATCTTGTGATTTTTACATATTTCTGAATTGTGACACCATTTTCTCTGTTTTCTTGACAAGTGGCAGAATATTTTTACCCTCCATTCTGGCTGATAGGAGGCACTTCAGGCTAAGCTCTCTTCTCAATTCATTATTGTAGGTATGGTTATTAGTAAATCGCATCCTAAATAAATTGCATCAATCAGAATTTAACAAAGAATGACCACACTGAACTTGAGGGGGTAAATGTATTTTAAATTCAATTCGCACAAGCTATATGCGACTTTGGACAGTTGGAGCTACTTTGGGACTTTTTATAAGTGAAGGGTGAAGCTGTCCACGGGTTGCCACATGATGAAGCGGTCTGGTGGACCTTGCCGCTTGGCCTTTAGATGAAGATTATTCCAAAGGCCACTGCAAGCGATTTCTCCTAACAATCTTGCCATTAAGTGCCAGTGTGTTTGTGTCTACTGTGGAATATATTAAAAATGAATCATTGAAATTAAATATTGTAAGGTGTACTTACTATTGTTTATGATTATCCTCATAATACCGTGCCAATTTCATGTAAATGTTGACTGAACCTGTTTAGTGTATTATATTTTAGTAAATGACATTTAAATAATCGTCTCTTAATAGTAATTAGATGAATTTTAGTTAGTATTCCATAAATTCACAATTGTCTAAATGATAATATTATTGCTTCTATGTTCAAACATTCAAGATTTGAGGGGTAATGCAAAGAGGAGGATGATGTTGAATGGTAATTAATTTTAGACATCACTTTGGTCTTTGAAATTTAAGATTAATATCCTTTTCCAGGACCCTTCTTTGACTCAGGCTTCACACTGACAGTGATGAACAGCTGTGTGCATCTTTTGGATCCTTTGGGTTCTCTGCTATGGAAGCTACATAAGTCTACCCCAAAACCACAATGAAAGCCTCACTGGTCTCTGTGAATAGTGGGGTGCTACTCCTGCTGAGTTTCTTGGCGATTCTTATTTACTTTTGAATCTTTCTCTAAGGAACTTTTTGGAGAGAGTGAATCTTTCTCTAAGGAACACAGGCCCAAAGCAACTTTATGAATTGAACTAGGGAAACAGATCTTCCCTCCCATGCCTGTATTGCACCCGGAAAAATTTATAGTTCAAATACAGCAGGATGATAGCTTTGTAAGGGAACCTACTAAAATCCACGGGGAACACTGAATTGCAGTGACTAGTAAAAATATGTTTAACATATGCATTTTATTCATACCTTCTACCTGAAGCTAAAACTTACGCTTGACTTCTCCTTTCTAAAGAGTTAGTATTAGAAATAACACATATGTTATATTGAGCTCAACCAAAGTCATTGACTTTCATGGATGATAGCAAGCACATATCAATTAACATTTTATCTTTTCTTCATATTCTTTAGTAGTGGCTTTTATTGATAAAATCTACATGTATAATTTAAGAATGATGTGGCATGTTTTAACAATGTTTCTATTTTCTAGTTACCTAAAAGGAAAGCTCAGAAACTAATAAGAATGTAACTCCCCATAGTGTGCATCTTTCTCTAACTATTTGATAAAATTCAAGAGATACCATTATAGATTGACCTCAAAAAGCCATTGATATCTTATTTTCAGAAAGCGATCAATAATTTTTAAACAGATGTTATTCCTAAAATCAACATATACTGTTTATCTGTTGGGAAATTTGTATTTTGGGGTGTGAGGTAACAGAAAACATGTCCAGCAAGGTTTAAATTCAGAAGGTTTTTTCCCCCTTCATTTTAAACATATTTATGTGCTAGACAATCCAGAGCTAGAAAAACATCTTAGCAATATAATCAGGCATCCACATAATCTTCCCTTATGTTCTCTCATTCTTAGCATGTTGGCTCTTGTCTCACCTAGATTACCTATGTTCCCAAAACCCACATTCAGCATGTGAGGTGAATGGAAAGAACAAAAGGGACAATAGCTTATTTAAGCTGAATCTGTTTTTTCTTTCAGTAATACAGTACAGGTTTTATAAGAACCGTGCCCCACAGAATTAAATTATGCCTCGTTGAATAGAATTATGTCAGCTGATCACAATGTAAATGAAAGGTGGTTATACTTGGGAGTTGGGCCCTATAAATAATGGGGCCTGCCACATTGTTAAAGTAATTTTCTTTATTATCCTAATGACTGTCTTTGTCTGCTCGGGCTGCCATAACAAAATGCCTCAGACTGGGTGGCTTAATCAACGGAAATCTATGTTCTCACCATTCGGGAGGATGAAATCCCAAGGTCAAAGTGTCTGCAGGTCTGGTGTCGCATAATGAAAATGATTGGCTGCATTTTTCTAACATAGGCATAATTTACGGATAACCAATTATTTCCTTTTACCTCAATTTTTAAATAAACTGTTGTTGAGATGTTTTAAAAATTAACATATTTTAAAGTTACAATCGACATACTGTATTATATTAGTTTCAGATATAAACTATAGTGATATTATATATTTGCAAACTCAAAATGGATATTTTAATGTATTTAAATATTGATATGTAAAACCTGAAACCATAAAACTCTTAGAATAAACATAGACAATAAACTCTTTGACATTATACTTAGCAATATTTTTTCTTTTTTGGATATGACTTCTCAGGCTAGGGAAATAAAAGAAAAAGTATACAAATGAAACTATATATCAAACTACAAAATATTTTCACAGCAAAGGAAACCATCAACAAACTAAAAGGACAACCTCCTGAATAGAAGATAGTCACCAATGATTCATCCAATAAGGGGTTACTATTAAAAATATTCAAGGAACTCACAAGTTGTCACATATACACACACACACACAAAAAAAAAAAAAAATTTAAAAATTGGCAGAGGACCTGAATAGACATTTCTCCAAAGAGGACATACAGAAGGCCAACATATATATTAAAATATGCTCACTATCTCATCATCAGAAAAATGCAAATTAAAATCACTGTGAGATATCACCTCACACCTTGCAGAATGGCTATCATCAATAAATCAACAAAGAAGTGTTGGTGAGGATGTGAGAAAAGGGCACCCTCATGTACTGTTGGTGGGTATGCGGACTGGTAGAGTCACTGTGGGAAACAGAGTGCAGTTTCCGCAAAAAGTTGAAAATGGAACTGCTTTATGACTCAGCATTTCCACTTCTGGGTATTTATCTGAAGAAATACAAAACACTAATTCAAAAATATATACGCACCCTTTTATATGCAACAAGATTTACAGTAGCCAAGCCGAAGCCGGTTTGGCTCAGTGGTAGAGCATCGGTCTGCAGACTGAAAGGTTCCAGGTTCGATTCCAGTCTAGGGCATGTACCTTGGTTGTGGGCACATCCCTGGTAGGGGGTATGCAAGAGGCAGCTGGTCAATGTTTCTCTCTCATCAACGTTTCTAGCTCTCTATCTCTCTCTCTTTCTCTCTGTTAAAAATCAAGAAAGAAATATATTAAAAAAAAAAAAGATTTACAGTAGCCAAGATGTGGAAGCAGCCCAAGTGCTCATCAATAGACAATCAGATAGAAGCCTTGGCACATATATACAGTTGAATATTAGTCAGCCATAAAAAGAATGACACTTAGCATTTGTGACAGCATAATTAGATCCAGTGGGTATTACGTTAAGGGAACACTGATTTGATAGTAGATGTTCACACTTTTATGAAAAGATTTGTGAAAGTAATTTCTCATCCATTTTGTACTGCTAGGAAGTCATTTCTCACACTTAGAGACTTAAAGATTTATGACTAATCATAATTTTTAAAATATATTTTATTAATTTTTTACAGAGAGGAAGGGAGAAGGATAGAGAGCTAGAAACATTGATGAGAGAGAAACATTGACCAGCTGCCTCTTGCACACCCCCTACTAGGGATGTGCCTGCAACCAATGTAGATACCCTTGACCAGAATTGAACCTGGGACCTTTCAGTCTGCAGACTGATGTTCTATCCACTGAGCCAAACCGGTTTCGGCATAAAGTTATTTTCCCCCCCATATTTTTACAGGCAAACTGAACCTTACAGAATTCGGGTGACTTGGTGCGGATGGGGAATAGGTATCAGAATGTAAGACATTATACTCTAAACACAGTTTTGAAGTAGTAGGGGCTGAATTAAAATCCGCCTATGGATATCATTTCAGTGTGTTGGGGTAGAAGGCATACCACTAAATGATATAGTAATGATAAAGCAAATGGAATGATTGTATTTGCAGGAACAGGAACTAGACAGTTGAGGTGAGGCAGAACGGTTGAGGGGAAAATATAATTTCCATATATCACAGTTATTTTCCTCATCCACTGCCTTGTTCATCTCCTTCATTCTGAAAATATCATGCTTTACAGGTACAACTAGAAATTCAATAATTCAATATTATGGTATACTAATGATTTTCGGAAAATTAATTTTTCCACATTTTCTTTTTAAATATAGTATTTCTTTACATTGAAAAATTACATGTTCAAGAAGATTTGTTGGCTAAACAGTTATAATGGCTTTAGCCTTGATATTTCACTTGTTTAAAAAATAACTACTATTTCCAAATGATTCTGAATCGTCTGATCTCTTTGTATGACTGGAAGACACTTTATCTATTAGGTTACCAAAATGTATGAATTCTACAGTGGAGTGAAGTACAGCTGAGTAATTAAAAAAGGTTTTTGGCCATGTTAATATATTTTTAATTGGATATGAACCAATAGAAGCAAGAAAATAGATAAGAAAACACCTTTATGGCCCTGCCAGAGTAGC